AAATAATTATTATAATTTTCCAAGCCAATTATGAAAAGTTTGACTAATTAAGGAAAATTGGTCAAGAGTAAATAGGGGAAAAATAATTCCAAGTCTCAGAAAATTAAGGAAAAATAAGGACAAGGTTCCTTGAGAATTATATGGAATTATAAAATTGGTTTTATGACCAATTTGCCCTTAGAGAAATTACAAAGGAATTTAAGGGCAATTTAAGCTAATTTAAGGTCCTTATTTGGAAAATTCCAAATAAATATATTTAAGAAGGATAAAATCCCAAGAAAATTCCTATGAAATCCCAAGGAATTATAAGAGATTATGAAATTAAAAGAAGACCCTCAAGTATCCAGGATTTTTTCCAATTCTTTGGAAAAGTGGAAAAATCACTAAAGAGAAGGAAAATAGTTTTCCTTTTTATTTAATTATTGGGAAATTAAATTTGAGACAAAGAGGGCAATTTGGGAAGATAAAAATAAGGAGAATAATTTATGGATCTGAGAGAAAATAATTACAGAGGCCAGAGCACTGTAATTATAGAAAAGAAGTTAAACCCGGAGTAAAAGTGCACCGATAAAGTGTTGATCGGAGCCTTGCACTTTACTTGGCCCATAAGCTACCACTTGTCAAGCCTTTAATGGATGATAATTAGAGCTTTCCAAGTGTCAAGCTACCAATGGAGAGGATCTTGACTTTGGAATTTAATTACAATGTGAATTAAGTTAATTAAAGAGAAAATGCAAGACTAAGTAGGCTTATGACACTTGGCTCTTCATTAATTGTGGTAGATGGGATATTTTGATAGCATTGATGAGCTCATCTCTCCCCTAAATCAGATGGGAATTTCGTGCAAGGCATGAAGAGAGGAAAAAGAGAGAGTTTTGAGGGAAAACCAAGAGAAAGGCATCAACTTTGGTCATACAATCAAGGTTCAAGGTGAGTTCTTGGCTCTAGATGTGTTCTTGCCTTGTTTTCTTTCTCTTTTATGGTTGAAAATATGTCTTCTCTCCCTCTTTTGATGCTGGCCGAACTGGTTGTTTAAGGGGAAAGGGAGTTTTGCTCATCACACTTGTTAAAATACTACAACACAAGCTAGATCCTAGTGTTTGCAAGTGATTATAGTTGGTTTTGAAGCATTTTTCATGGTTACTTCCTTGAGTGTCATTTTCGGCCAAGACAAGATCTGAACCCTAGGATGTGTTTTTCAAAGTTTTGAGGCTTCCATTGTGTTCAAAATGAAAAATGGTGTAGGGTAAACCTAAAGAACAAGTGTTGGAAGCCATAGAAGCAAAGTTGCAATTTTTGAGTTTTAAACCCTAAGGGTTCGGTCAAGCTGAAACTGGAAGAGGAAAATTTATTTTGTTAAATCTAAGTAGATATTTGGAATCTACATGAAAAACCATGTAGGAAAGGGTCAAGGGGAATTTTTAGGGTTTATGGAAAACAACTCTAAAATTCAAGAAACAAAGATAGAGGCTTTAAGGGGTTTAGGAGCTTCTTGAGTTATGTGATTGATTTTTATGTGGAATGTTTAATAATACTTGCTGCCCTTTTTGGGGATTGCCATGTTAGGGTTGGCATTTGTGGAAGCAAGAAAGAAGAACAAGAAAAATCAAAGAGCATTGGATTAAGGTAGTAAGATTTAATTAGCCTTAATGTTGAATGTTGCATTGATTGCTATGCAATTTCATGTGCTATTATGTGGTTGAACTAAATGATGATGATGATGATGATTGTGTAGCTATACTCCTTGCTTTATGTGCCTTGGCTATTGCATGTTAGAGTGCTACATGTATGAGGTAAAGTAGTTCCCTATTAATAGCAAAAGGTTGGAATGCTTGTAATTGATGCATGTTAATGTTTTGGTTGATTGATCTTGCTACTGGGATTTCAAAAATCTCATCCCCCAAAATAATGTAACATTTTAGGGCCTGAACTTCTCAAGAGCAAGCTGCAGAATGGAGGCTAATTATGGTGTCATACCATAAAATTTTCGTGGACATTTGGTTATGTATATTTATCAATGGTTGGTGCTGTAACCCTTAAGCAGGATGTTAGTTTAGAGCCATGGTTTATTTAGTTACTGGACGAATTTCAGCACGAAATTTGGTATGCTTATAGTTGACGTCCTGAACTTCAGATTGATAGGCAGCACGTTACAAATGGCCAAGTATACGATTTTTAATGATTTTTCAAAGTTAAGATTCAGAATCTGGAAAAAGAGCTTTTGGCAAATGGATAATGTTACCTTTCACAAAAACCTGACACTTTTTCATAAGGAATTGGATAACGATATTATTTTTCCTTGAAAGAGGACTTAAAGATATTTAAATAGAATTTTGAACCACCTCATTTCGATTTTTATGGAATAAGTTATGAATTTTTTAAGTTGGGCCAGAAAACTGGATTTTTACCCCATGAACAGTAAAAATCCGAAAATCAGCATTTTTCATGAATTTTTAAGCCCAAAACCATCCAATGTGGTCTAAAATGGTTTTTATTAAACCCTAAGTGGATCCGATAATAAGATGTGACATGTCGTGCTTAAATTATTAGAACCTTTGTTTAATCATTTCAAGCATATATGCTTGTTGTTAAGCAAATCATGTGAATCATTAAGTAATTTTTTTTCCAAGTATGCTGGCGTATGTCATCACTCATTTATATATTAGATGGGAACTTTTCAAGCATGCCTCCGGGTAATGGAATTGCAAGCCATGTGCTTGTAGCTTTTCAAGCGTGCTTATGTATGTAACAGCATATGATTAGAGTTGTAATTATTTTTTTTATTGTACTTTGTTTACAATGACATTATATTTATTTGTGTATTGGTATATATGTCAAATGGAATTTGCATTAATGATGGCCTAAAGTTAGGAGGAGTAATGTATATGATGAATTCTTCTACTATATGATATGATATCACCTCGGCACAAAAATTAAAACAACACTTGTCAAGGTCCCTTATTTCATGTTCTCCATTGACTAGCATTGCATTGAAGCTGTTGGACATGTAACACTTTCTTTTACTATAACTTGGGCAATCGAAGACCCAAGGGAAAGGTGTCCAGAAACCAAACCTACAAGATTTTGTTACAGGCCCATAATATTCAAATGAAGTTCGGAAATCAAGCAATGCTCAGAAGTGAATAGCAATAATTCAACCCAAAAACCTAATACAAAAATCAAACTAAGTCAAATAATGATGTGGCCATAGATACACCACTATCTAAAATGATTTGTTCAGAATACCAAAATCAGGGATGATGAGAAAAAAATCGAAGCCTATCAGGAGCAAGCAGAATATAACAGAGATTGGGTTAAATTTGAGAGATATATATACTGAGAGCGAGAGATACAAAATCTCACTGAGGGAGATGAGGCAATGTTTGTGGCTTGTGGCTTCGGGACTGACTTTGACGTCAATGTGCTCCAAGGATGTGAAGTTATGACATGATAGTATGATGCCACGTCCTGAAAAAGTAATAACATGATGCAAGTTATGGAATAAAAAAATTAAAAATTAAAGAAATTTGATGTAAGATAAACAGATGATTGTTTCATGGTTGATGGAAGCAGTTTTTCTTCCAAGCAATAACCAATTTTCACCACGAAAGCATTTATACTATTTCTGAGCTTTTTAAATTTTAATTTTAAATAATACATTGGATGCCAAGAATAAGATAACTGTGATGAAAGAATGAAATTGAAAATTAATATATGTGTGTATATATATAAATTCTGATGTAAACAATGTAAAATAAATGTAAATTGTTTAAGTTATAAATTCAAATTGAAATGATTGATTATGGGTTATGAAGTTGTGATTTTTCAAAACTTTTCTAAATTTTAAATTTAAGTAATACACAAGAAGTTAATATAACGGTTAAGATATAGATTACATGGATATTTTTTATTAGCCAATACAGAAATCGTCTACATGCCTATTTGGATTAGCTTATTTAAGTGTTTATAAACACATTTGACGTAAATTAAGATGAAACTCCTATCACGCACTAACCTCATATTCTGTAAATCATAATTAAAAAACTACTTATAAATCATTTTGAAAGAACCTTAGTTGGCTTTTTGTTGTAAATGTTGCTAAGACCCTTGCATTTATATACATAATGATTGATTACCCGTATGCTTTAAATTTTATTAACTTACATTGAATTAATTTTTGATTTAAAATTTAGAGTTTTCTAAAAATTGAAAATATGCAAATTTCCTAGAATTTTACTCAATTAACACCGTTTAATTTCCCTTTTTATTTTTAGAACTATTTTTATTTTTATAGCGTGTTTATAATTTACTCTGTATTTCAATAAGGATTGGTGAAGTTTAAAAAATATATCTTATAATTTGAGGAATATTAAAATAAAAAGCCCCAGTAATTTTAACAATTTAGTATTATATATAATTTTTTCGAGTCCCTTGTATATTCTTTAGACTATAGCTTCTGTCAAGCTCCTGAGTTGTCGTGCTACTTCAAGCAATCAGAATAACATAAAATATCTGAATTACTCTTCCGATCCTTAATATAAGATCCATTTAACTAATTTGATTAGATTAAAAAAGTCACGTAAGTTGATTAATTATAAAAAAATAACATATTTTTCTTAAAACATCATAATCATCTTTCTTAATGTCCTCCTTCCCTTTTCTATTTGATTATGGTTGAAAAAGTATGTATAAGAATAATTTAAAAAAAATTGATAAATATGAAAAATTGGTCTTATATTTAAGACTAAAATCAACTTAACAATTAGATCTTATATCAAGAATCGGAGGAGTAATATATCAAGACACCGAAATTTAAGCAAACACTAAATAAATTTTCACTTCTCGAATGAAAGCCCAACTTCTACATGTGTGGAAGATTAAAGCAAGGAGAAAAGAAATCACAACACAATAGAGACCAAAGAAGCCATAAACAAACCACTTGTTACAGTGAAAGATACATGTAAGAAGCTAATCAGAAGAAAAATGAAACTACACACACAGTTACAATTATGATCTTGAGAAGAGATCTAACACAAGAAACACTTAACAATATCTGCCCTATTATACAGAGGAAGCAACCTTAGTGAACTTGTTTGTCTTATGCTGAGGGAGTGGTCGGAGTGATGAACTTGATTGTCAACTCAAGCTCACCAGACTCAACTCCCCGAAGCCGTAACCAAACGTTTTGCACCAGTTCGCCATTAACACTGTTGATGCTGCTTTCGCGAACGAGGCAGTTTTCGCTGTCGGGTACGAGCTTCCTTATTGTTGTTTCACCGGAGGAAGCCCGTAAAACGTCTCTTATTCTAGCTGCAGAGAATAGTGGTTGAAGGTTGAGGAAGGCATTTCCCATCTTGTCATCACTCTTCAAAAGATCCTTATCGAACACTTCCTATTTGAAATACCAAGTCGGTCATATACAACTTGATAGAATAATCAATAATAACTAATGTTGAATGGCCAATCCACTATAGTAAAATTAGATGTATCTTCAACTCAAAACTATAATGAGCAACTAAATTATACCGATTAGATAATTACAAAATTCAACCTTTTGGATTGTTGGATTGACAAGAAAACATTAAATTTAACTGCAAGGATGTCACTTCCTCACTCTAACAATCTTCACGAAATGATTTTAGGTTGGGATGAAAATACAGACATAATATAAAAGAACATGTGAAAATCATGGAACCTCTTGCAGTCTCTTTTAATTAGGATTTGGTATTATCATTTTAGACATAAGCTCTAGATGTTTACCTAATATATTATGACAAGATGTAGGCCCCTCATGCTTTGCATGGAGTTTGCGGAATAATAGGTTATTATGTATTTTAAATCGTATTATTGATATTGATTTCTGTACCAAGTTTTTCAATTAGGCCTCAGTTAAAGGGATTATACAGTATATTCCGAACTCATAAAGCAGCAAATACTATATAAACCAAATAATTGTGGCGCTAAAATTTAACAATTAAAGCATAGAAAAACCACTGCTAAAGGGGGAAATTTAAGATATGGACAGGATCTATGTATTAAGTTCATGTCAACAAGTGCAAAGACCATGACGGTAACTAGCAAGGAATCTCCAGACCTCAGATGAACCTCTACACATCCTTTTGACTTTGAGGAGGGAGGCCAAAAAAAACAAAACAAAACAAAACAAAAAACAAAACAAAACTCTCTGACAAGATTTCTTGACAATTTGAGAAATAACTAGGTAAAAATTTGCAGTTGCGTTAATGAGCAGCACATATATCTTTTAAATACTACCTCCGATCCTATTTATAAGACTTCATTTGTATACTACAAAGAATATCTAATAATTAGGACCGGAGGTAATAATTATAAAAAAGAAGCCTTGTCCTGATATCAGAAGGCTCTCAAATGAATTAAAAGAGCTTTGCTTGATTGGCTCGTTTAGAGTATTATTCCAAGTGCCACATCAAAATGAGAGACATGCATAAATTTCAGAATAAAGTTCAATTTTCAGATAAATGAGACAATGATGCAATAGGAGTTCATTATAATAGTATTTTCATATAGTCTCACACTGAATGAAAATTTGTTCTGATAAATTCTCTCCTCATCCAAAGCCAAAAATCTCTACTTTATGTCAAAAACAAACTCTACCCTCGAACTTCAGTATGTCGCTCCTTTCAATTATGACTTGAAAAAACAAATACTACCAACATCAAAGGGTTTGGATATTGATGCGAAATGATCCTCTAAAGTGGTTAGCAAAAGCGAACAGTGAACATGAAGATTAGGCAACCTTAATATGGATTTTGCAAACACAGGGTTTTTGTTTCGTCCCACAAAACCCAAAAAAAGGGGTTGGTCAGCTAAACTATGAAATTATGACATACATATTTGCCAACAGCTGGAGAATCCACCAAAGCTGAAGAATTAGCACATAAGAATCATAAGAATCAAACGAAATATCGATTTATGATGTTGGGATCAGTATCTGACCCAATAAACCAAATGTAACCAGACATCCAATGGGGATGATTACTAGGAAGATTGTAGTTGAGTTATTAGTACCTACACCGATGAAGAAAATGAAGGCAAGAACAAATATGCTAACTTCTAATTAGTATCTATAAATTCAAGAAGCATTAAAAGCATAGAAATCAGCCCTTCCCAGATATCTGATATCCAGAAACTCACCAAATTTAGAACTCCCACAGGTTCTGTCAGAGTGAAACTAAGCTCTTCATTCCAAACAGGGCTCAAGCAACTATTAATCACCTTAGTCTTTGCTGTCTGATACAGTGTAATGATTGGCGACAACACTTGAGATTATTGTATGCTACACAATGTTAATGTCAAGTGAAACAAGTCAAGAATGAACAATACATCCTTGGTACCTGATTTCCTAGCTTTACCACAACATAAGGATCGCTACTCTTGAAATCCCGAATCACTAATCGTTTTCCTTGCACAACGATGACTTTCAAAATCCCCAAGTGTTCATCCATTATATACTCCTCCTAAAAACACGTCAGATTCATTTATCATCAATATTACGATGGATAAAAAACATGCCTTTGATAACTATAATAACCCAAAGAAAAATAACCTCCCCCCACGTCATGAACTGAGAACATCAATAAAGGACCATAACACGAGTCATTGACTCCAACAATGGCCATCAAGCAACGTGTAAGAAAAGTATAATGGGCAGCAAGAATTTCATAGAAGAATCTAAGATTATACGACCAGAAGTATAGGCAAAAGTTTATTTGGAGCACAAAGTTAGGTGATTGATCCGAGGACATTAATGAACATAGATCCCAAAATTAGGCTCACAGTACACAGAAGTGAACTTTCTTTTTTCTTTTCCCTATCTATCTTAATTTGTCATACGCACCTTGATCCTTGAAAAAGGTAAATAAACTTAAGTAAACAAAATAAAAATGAATTTTCTGCCCAGAAAACCAGCATTAAAGAAGCTGGATTAGCATGCTCACCCAGAAAAGTGAAATCAACTTTCAAAATTTCAACAATATTGCAAACACACTCAAAGCAATATCTGAGCAGGGCAAGAGAGAAAAACAACAATCTTCAAGTGAATGAATATTAACAACAGAAAACACAGAAAACTGAACTAAAATGAGAAACTGCAGAGCATATTCCAAGAGTGAACTAAATAAACGAAGAAAAATTATTGATTGGTGGTTTGAAAGTAAAGTAGAAACTCGAACAAACTAAAAATGAGATCTTCTTTTCATTATTTTAAGCGAAAAGCGAAAAAGCGAAGAGCGCAGGAAAGCGGAGAGAGAGAGAGAGAGCAAACCGATGGAGAAGGAGGTGGCAACGCTGTGTTGGGAGATGCGTTCAATAGACGAGGCATGGGATTTAATGGGGGCGGGACAACCTCGTCGAAACCGGCAACCACCGGTGGAGGAGGAGATTTCAGGGGTAGAGTGACGGACACGTGGCGGTCGCGGGCATCTGGGGTAGCGGTCGGTGGTTTGACCGGACCATGTCGTTGCCAGTTCAAGCGCGTTCGCGTGTGACAGTACTGCTCAAGGGAATGACTCCGACATCGCTCAATAAATAAAAATTATTTAATCTGAATTTTTATATTCGTGTAAAAATGTATGCAGTTTATTTACAAGGAAAATAAAAAAAAAACATACCTATAAATTTTAAAATGATAAATCTGTAATTTTAACAGATTTTGATATGTCTAAACCGTTACCTGGATGATTTAAATCATATTATAATAGTAGTCAGCATGATCTATTTATTTTTTTAAATTTCAACATGTATTTTGTAATTTTTTTTTTTGTTTCTATTCAACAAATTAAATGTTATCAACACATTTAATTTTTTCACTTCTAATCACACATTTACAAATATGCAAATGCTAATCTTTCAATTGGCTTATATGTCATAGTTTTTCTCACTAGATTCCATTTGCAGTGACTTCTAAGTATATTGGCTGAGGGACTAATAGGATGCATTTACTGTGAAGGGAAAAATTTTGCGGGCCCATCCGGTTTGGGAGTTTGGGTATCTGTTCTTGTATTTTATTTTATTTTATTGGGACAAAAAGCCAAACGACAATAATAACGGAAAAATAAAATACATCATAAGGAAAAAGAAAATTAGGGATAAATCTCTCATTAGCATATAGAATATGAGGATTTTATACAACTTAACTTCTACTGTGTGCAACTTAACTTTCTTTGCGTGTAATTTATCTTTTTTGTGTGTGGTAATCTTTCTTTGTATGATGGACAACTCAATTTCCGTTTATGCAAATGAAATTTTCTGACGTGTAAGTCATCTTCCTTATGCGCAAACTAATCCCTTATATCCAAATAATATTTTATGCAAACAATCTTCTCTTTGTGTAACTTATCTTCCTTTATATACCACTAATTTTCCTTTTGTATAATCAATCATTCTAGGAACCATTTGCCAATTAAATTTGTAATGAGAGATTTACTCTCACTTTTTCCAAAAAAGAAAAGTAAGTTAGTAGTTACATAAGATATATGAAGGATTAACTATTGTTACATTTGAATTAGCAAATAAAGGAAGAAAGGTCAAAATATCTTCCAAGACAATATTTCCTGATTCTTTCATCGGCAATCCACTTAAGCTAATTGCTTAATTAACGCCAAGAGCTATAGAGATTCAGTCTTGGGAGAGCAGAGAGAGGATTTAATAATCTAGGAAAGAGTGAAACGAAGACACTTATAATTAAATAGATGATTCCCCTCTATATTTGAACCCACTAGAAGTATTAAAGAGAATGACCTTACAAAAATATCTAGAAATGACAAAGAATAACACATCTTCTATTTTTGGCTCCATGTAGTATGTTGGTCCTACCATTAGTATTAATGACTAGATTTAGGACGGCATAGAATTTCTGGGAGCCAAAAGTGAATTAACTTGATTATGAGTGAAGGCTAGATCAGAGAAGGATAAGATACTCTTGATCTATTGTGCTGAAACAGTGAGACAATTCGATACACTTTTATGTAAAAGCAATATTTCTCTTCCTCATAAAATATTGATGAGAATTATAATACCCTTCAAAAGAGACAAATGATTTTTTTGATACAAGTTAAGCGCATCTGATCTGACGGTGTCGTTACACCTTGGAGTCAAATACAAGAGTTTTATAACAAGATCTAAGAGATGCAATATAGTGGTGCAATCTGGGTCATGTTCGCGTGGAACTTTCATTGATGACTGAAACTAGACTAAATGCCATGTAATGTAATGAAAGGGGTTTGGGTTTTTAAGATTAATTTGAATTGTGATTAAAGTATATACAATGAAAATAAACCTAAGCTACTATTATTTTGGATTTTTGATAAAATAATGATGGAATGAAAATTAATGATAATGAGTCTCTTGAAAATGGATTAGTACAATCATTGTTCATAAAAGATAATGGGAGTTTATTTTCACTAAGCTTCTTAAATGACAAACCTCAAATATCATTGAGTCAAATGTCTTAATTCATGAATCTAGTCCTTAAGACATTGTGAAGTCCTCTTAGTGTGTACTTCTAATTAGTCAATGCATTAGATTCAATTAAAACCCTTTTCTTCCAGAGCAACTAAAATGATCATACTGAATGAAAGGGAATCAAGTAGTCAAAATTGAATACACACACACACAATCCTATATATTGAAGAACACAAATCCTCATTAACCAATCCAAAACACAAATTAATCATCTAGCAGTGATTACAATCATAATCAAAGAGTTTAACTATAATTTACCATTTGTATGACCTAGGAAATCATAAACCTATAGCTAAACTAAGGATAAAATAAGAAAACCCCCTAGTGAGATTGGAAACTCAAGCACCATCTTCTATCTTCAAGAGGGTGGAACAGCTCCAATTGGAGTAGAATCATCGGCCATAGCAGCTAGGATTAGAGAAAGATGAGATGGGATGGATAAAAAGTGAAGGAAATAGATGGGAAGAAGATAGAGATGGAAAGGCAAGAAGATGAGTGAATAGAGGTGTATGAGATGAGAGAATGTAGTGTTTTTTTGAAAATAAGGTTTTCTGGATGTTTAAGGGGTTAGTTTGGGTCGGATTATATGAATGGGTGCTCCATTTTCACATTCTGATCCAAATTTGGTGTTGCTGATATGAGGACTTTGCTGCGGCAAAGGAAAATGTTTGCCGTGGGGAAAGTATCCTGAGAGGAACTCCAACAAAACTTCTACAAGTTTGCCATGGCGAAGCAAAATGTTTGCTGCAGCGAACTGTTCCAGAGTTAATATTCTTAGTTCTCATGTTGTGTAATCCCTAGGTTTTTAATCTTAGCTCTAATTCTCAAGTGTCCTATAATGAAAAGCAATAATTTGAAGAATTAATTATCCTAGAACAATCGAATATAATTAATAACTAATTATAACAATTTTATCCTCAAAAGATACTAATTCAAAGCAAAGACTCTTAATCTAAATTAAGCACAATAACCACTAAAAGAGCCACCTATGATAAAAGCCCTAAAAATGATATAAAACAACATAGAAGAATTAGGCTCAATCAATTCCCCTACACTTAAACCTTTGTACTCCTAGACAAAGGCAATACAAAACCAAAGCAAGCAAATAGTATTGATACAAATGGGAATCTTTATGAATTCAAAGTAAGAGAGTAATAGTGCCATTAACCCAACTCTTCAAACAAGCAATCATAGTGATCCAAGTTAATAAGAAGGGATTAAAGCGGAGTACAATCAATGCAATGGGAATGAGCAAAAGAGAAAAACACTCAAGGTATAAATTATTTCAATCTACTTACCAAGTTGGGGTAATTCTCTCTTAAATCCACTTAATCGACTACTTTACCATAAGCTTGTTAAAATCCTACCTCTTTACTTTTAAAGCATGAATGCAATGATCAAGAGAACTTCCAAGATTATGATGATTGAAAAGGCTAAATGAAATGAATGTAGTGAAAAGATATGAAATGATTAAACACCGAGCATTTTAGAAAATTTCAACTAACATCTATTCTATTCTCTTGAAATATAATCTTGTTTTTCAAACCACCAATAAACTGCCTTATTTCAAAACTTTATTCTTTTGGTACCACTTTATTTCGATATTTCTTTCTTTGGCTTTTCTCAAACAATTTCCTCTATTTGTATGCCTTTTTTCTATTTCTTTTCTCAATTTTTTTTCTTTTTTTCTCTAGGAATTCCAAACCCAAAAGACAAAGTTTAAAGCATCATAAATGTAATAGTAAAGTATTAGAGACTTGAATGTACAATGCATCTTTGGCACTTGAGAGAAGATAAATGCTCAAATGGCTAGTAATGGGTAAAATAATAAGGGTTTGTGTTGGGGATGTACGGGTTTAGAAAAGAATACCTCTCATGCTCATAACATTAATGCAACTAAGCCTTGAATAAGGACTAAAACTAGTTCCAGAAAATAGAAGATGTAAGTGGATGCACATTGTAAATGAAAATTAGGCTTAAAGAATCTTCTAACAAGGCTAAATCTCAAATGCTCATACACAAAGATTAGTTGTACTCCAAATTAATCACAATACATTAACTTAGTCAATATGACAGCAAGCTTGAAGAATTGTGACCAATAAAACTAGCATAATCAATTTTGAACAAATAGCAATTCTCATGAGTATCAATAAAAGTTCAAAAACATTCATCAAAGTCCAAGAATACACAAATTCATAAGTTAATTGAAGCACAAGTTTTCAAAAATGTTGACTCAAAATCTTCAAATTAAGTTCAAAAATCAATCAAATTTTCAAATTTTTTTTAGAAAACTAGATTTTTTATTAATCACAGAAAAACACAAACACAATCATTGTGTTAGATTTAAGGTTTTGATGATAACAAATCAAGTATGTTCTGGTTTAATATGTTGATCGATCACCTGATCGATCAAAAGATAATCGATCAAGTGTCAGATAAATTGTCTTTATGTACTTGAAGGTTGGTACTAAGTTTGATTGATAAATTGATAGATAATTCAAAATTTTATATGTTGATCGATCAATTGATTGATCATTGTTAACAATGTTGGTATAGAAGTCTGCAGAAAATTATCAATAACTTGATCGATAATTAGATAATCAAATAACTGACAAACAAAGGGACATTATTCTTGTAAGAGATTATCGATCACTTAATCGATAATTAGATGATCAAATAACTGACAAACAAAGGGACATTATTCTTGTAAGAGATTATCGATTACATGATCGATAAATAAGTTATCAATGAGAAGACAGATGAATGGTAAAGTTTTTCCACTTAAGTTATATTCTGTGTTATTCACCATTTATCGATCACTTTATCGATCAGAGATTTATCGATAACCTGATGAAACATTGCTTAATAACT